ATTTGTTTTTGTTGTCACTGAAACCGAGAATGGAGGTCCCTTGATTCCTCAAGGTCATCTGGAGGTCATGCCAAGGTCATCCCAAGGTAAAATTCCGATAAATTTTATTGAATTTTCAGGTTTATTCAATGAATTTTTCCCTACTTGACCTTCAAATGACCACGAACCTGACGTGATGGAGGCTAACGGACCTCGGATTCGCATTCAGCATGTCGAATAACATAGGGATATATAGGTATGGTTTAATATGCATACACTTTTTTTTTTGTAAACCTGTGTAATTAATTCACTATTGCTAAGAATCGATTGGAACACGCTCTTCACTAAAATGGATACCACCAACGCCTTCACCACATTTAAATCTCGTGTTTTTGATCTTTGCGTGGATGTCATCCTCTCTAGGAAACCCTATAAATTACCATGGTACACAAAAGGGCTGAAACGTCTGAAAAATCTAAGAGCAAATTCTTCAAAAAATTAAAAAAATCCGGGCACGCTTTGTACCTTGAACGTTATCACCATTACCGTAAGAGTTTCAACGCCCTAGATAAGCGTCTACATGATAAAGGGTGAACACACCAAAACTGCGACACTTAGAAATTACTACCAGAAACAAACTAGCAGGCTTTGAAATTATTTTCTTTTGTATTATATAACTTGGAAGTTTAGATGTTATTAAAATGTTAAAATATTAGTTATTATTTGCTCCATATGCAAGTGATCGGTATTTTCATCGCACACGCGCCATCATGTTCTGCACGACTGCATCATCGACTTCACGCGATGCGCACAACTACTTTGTTTTGGACTCTTCAATATTTTTCACTGTTTCACCTGTTTTCTGCAAGATTTCTTTGACAATTGACCAATATTCCCCAATAGGACGTGGCTCTGGGCTATTGGGTGGATTGCAGTCGTGAGGTACAAAATTGATGTTATTTGCATTATACCACGGCAATGTGTCCTTGGCATAGTGGCAGCTTCCCACGTCCGCCTAGAACAGTGGCCTACTCCTTATCTGTTGATAAATGACAGAAGACGCCTTTTGAGGCACTCATCCCGATAAACTTGATCATTCATTGTCCCGGATGGGAAAAAAGGGCTGCTCTTACGGCCACAGGATCAAATAGCTTGCCAAACCATGTGGTTTTTTGGAAATTTGGACTTCATTTTCAGCTTACAACTTTCAGGGGCATCTTGACGACTTGCACCAGTATAAAAATCTTGACCTGCAATATATTTTGAATTTTTATAGCAGTAGGTTTCGTAGTCCATAACAATGCAGTTGTATTATTTAATTTAGAATTCATACAACTTCCGAATGCGGGATTTCGCTGTAACATTCTACTTTGCGCCTCGGTCTGGCGCTGTTTGAGCTGTAGAACCTTTCCGCTTTACCTTTTGTACGAAAAACTGCGATCTGCGTACGGATTTTGCAACATAACGCGACAAAACCTTCGGATTTCGCGAAATCGCACTGAGGACCTTCCGAGCACTGTTTTTATCACTTTGACCATGCTAACCCCCGCTCCCTGGTTTTCTCGTAACTGCCAGGCCTTATTTGTACCGATTAAAACCCTGCAAACTGTCGAATAGTGCAATCTTTAATTTTTTAGCAATTTTACGTGTACTTAAGGCCGGATCATTTATAAACTCGTGCAAAATGGTTTGTCTCGTTTCTAACTCGGTTGTCATTTTTAACTCAACTAGGAATCAAATTAAAATGAAATTTCTTCTACGTCCAACTAAGGTCATGTAGTCAGCTTATGGTATTTGAATTTCAAAATATTGAATTCGTTTTGGGTAAGTTATAAGCTTCCCAAAGTGTCGCAGTTTTGGTGTGTTCACCCTTTAGGTACATTAAAAATTATGAATCCAACATCAAAAATAACACAAAAGCTTTTTGTAGTTATATATAAAATCTAAAAAATCAAGTTCTGGCATTCCTTCCTCCGTCTTCTATGCGATAAGCATGTGACCACTCTTGTTGATGCGGCTAATCTTTTTGATGAGTTTTTTGTGTGCCAATTTTGTATCCGATGCTGAGCTACCTTTCAATGATTGTTTCTTTTCCGACTCGTCACTGTCTTTCGTTCGCTTTTTGTAATCAATGAAGACGTTAGAAGAGGCATCAAATCGCTAAAATCCTCCAAACAAATGGACGCGGATGGACTTTCGGCGATTTTCAAAAAGTGCTCCTCCCTGATTGAGCCGCTAACGCGTATTTTCAATAAGTCTTTAACATCCGGCGTTTTTATAGATGACTGGAAAAGAACATCTACAGCATCGGTCATATCTATAGCACGCCATTTCCAAGTGATATTGTGTGCCCCTTATGTTTATTTACTTATTTTTGAGAATTTTCAATTAAAATACAGTTCTTTCTCTAACAAACCCCATATAAACCCAAGTTTAAAATTTGTAGAAAACTTCAAAAAAGTGCAACAAATTTTCACCTAAATTTCAAACTTTTTTCTCAGAATTGTTTGAATTTTTCTGAATACACAGTTTTATAGCCCAATCAATTTTAGTCTGATAATGTGCAAGTTTCAAGTGACTGAAAGTTACCGTTGATTTTTTAGAATTTTTTCTCCAAAGGTGTTGCGGTTTTCATCCATATACAAATAAATTGAGTTTATTCAAATAGAATTTAACTCGCGAATTGCAATCAAATTCAAAGTCGTATGTCAGAAAGATTAAATCATGTTTGGAGAAATTGGGAATAGAAAGTTGATCATAAAAAAGAGCTTTTGACTTCTTACTAACGAAAAAAATGTCTAGTAGTTTACTACTCGTTCGCGTAAAATGCGTAGGCATCGAGCAATTAACTGCGAATAGTCCAAGATTTTTCAAGAAGTGGTTTTCGCTTAGTAAGTCATTATTGAAGTCTCCTGTTATGACAGTATTTTGGTGAGCTAAACTTATGTCTTCAAGAAAGTCAATGAAATTAGAATATTCAATATGTTTGTTTGGTCTATAAACACATCCAAGTAATATCTTATCTAACTTTGTTATAATTTCCACAAAAATTTATTCTATAGAGCTGGTGTTTGAGGATACGCATTTCAGCCTGCACGAAATCCAGTTTTTTACGTACATAGCTACACCACCACCATGCCCGATTCTGTCTTGATGAAATAGTTTGTAGTCACTAACATAAAACAAGTTATAGCTGTGAAGAGGAGTGAACCATGTTTTAGAGACGCATACTACATCAACATTAGACGATTCAGAGAAGTACCTAAACTCATCAATCTTTTTAGGTACACTTTGAGCATTGATGTGACAGATTTTCAGTCCATGCCTTTGCTTACTCAAAATTCGGATCATATTAAATGTATTGTCTTTGGCACAGTCTTTTCTATTTATGTTGTTATACACTATTTTTAAAGAGAATGATATTGCATTTCAAAAGGCGAATTACAACGGTATCGGCTAGAAAAGTATACACCTAATGTATCTACGAGTATCGGTTGTGTGCAAATAGAATGTAATGGTAATAAAAAGGGAAGAGAGAGAGAGAGAGAGTGGAATATCTTAAACTTACACTAAGCCATGTATACTTATGAACTAATCTCATTCCATTGTATCACTTTTTTCTTACTGTTGTTGAGCGCTGCAATTTGGTTAACTTCGTCTCTAGAGTGCACTCTTGACTGCATCGCTTTCCGGACGAACTCTTACGTGCACTACTCCATGGAGTGAGAATACTGGCAGAAGCCGCATCTGCTTTTTCAGATCGATCGCATGCTGCATTAATTCGCGATTTTAGCTAGGCATTCGTGTATGAAAATTTGCCCATCTGTATCGATGCCTATGTCGTGAAGAGCAAGTGGTTTTCGCTTTGCTTTGAAGTGCAGTGTAGCCGCTCTGCATAGAACGGTCGTTAGCAGCACAGTATATACAGTACTAAACCTTTTTGAGTATTCCTCGGGGGTAAAATCTTATCAGTGTTGATAATGAGAAGGAGCATGAATTTTGTTGAGTCAGAGTTGTATACAAAATTACTGTGGTATGAAAGGGAGCAACAACCGTACTATAGCAGAGTGGCACAATTGGTGATTGTGGTGATTGTGTAATAGTTACCGAAATTAATTACAAAACTGTAAAAAATTGCAAATTATTCTCTATTATTTTAGATACTAATACAGATTATCACAGTTCAGTGTTTAACTTGTTATATTACACCGTAAATGAAAATAAACTGTTAAAAGCTGAAAACGGTAGCACTTAAACCAAATTTTCGGAAAAATGCACATTCTTTCGCGTTTCTCCGAGTAGTGAATTTCTATGTTCATTAGAAATTGCGAGAAGAGCAGATAATTTTGTAAACAAACACTTTTTTTTATAATTTTAATACATAATTTCTATTTATTTTCTAATATTCAGATATCCGGCTTGTAGCCAGATGCAGTGGCACGTGAGGTTCACTAAAATCTACTCATCAAGTTTGATTAGCTCCGGGTAATGGACCATTGAATGTACTGCAGTGGAATTCCGACAACCGCTACGCTAAATTTTCTTCGCTAAAATTCTCTAAATGAAAAGCATTAGGTCCTAAAAGTATACAACATGGAAGAGTAACACATGCGATGCGTAATCAACCAAATCTGGCAGTGTGGCGGGCATGCAACTAGATGTTGCGTGTTGTTAGAGTCCCCAAGCAAATGCATGTACTGAATTTATACGGTAGCAATTCAAAGCAAATGTCGCCCGCTGTGGTGTAGTGGTAAGCAGTGCGCGCTTCCACTCCACAGCACCTGGGTTCAAGCCCTGGTCAAAGCAACATCGCAAAAAAAAAATATAGAAAAAAGGTTTTTTCTTAACAGCGGTCGTCCCTCAACAGGCAATGGCAAACCTCCGAGTGTATTTCTGCCATGAAAAACAGCTTCTCATAAAAATACAATCGCCGTTCGGAGTCGGCGTAAAACTGTAGGTCCCTCCTCTTTGTGTGACAACATCAAGGCGCACGCCACAGATCGGAGGAGAAGCTCGGCCAAACACTAACGTATGTGTAAGCGCCAATCTATTATTATTATTAGTTCATAGCAATTACTATTTTATGTGTGTATGATTCATTTTTGTTACATTCTATAATTTGATGTTAAGTATTTTTGAGATGCTCCGGGTAATGGTCGCTCAAACTTGGAGTCTCTATGACTATACAAAACTTGTTTCTTCGGAATAAAGACTTAAATATATTCGGAAAATTAGAATTTTACTTGATTAGTTCAGAAAATAACACAAAATTCACGTTTTTCATAAAAATATAATCTTACAATGGACATTTTTTCAACTTTTAAACTTACATTTAAGAAAACTCCATTCAGTGCTATAATTACGATTTGAGTTTTCCAGTTTAAAGAAACACAAGCTTTAATTTTGTGCTTAACTATTGATATTATTCTCAATTAAGCACTGATATTATACGTAACCTACATTTTGTTCATAAATAATACATAATCCTTACTAATATTATAAATCCGAAAGTGAGTTTGTTTGTTTGCTACGCTTTCACGCTTTAACTACTCAACCAATCATTATGAAATTTTGTACACTACTGTCATTTAGCCCAACTTAAAATATAGGATAAATTTAATCTCGACTAGACAAGGGGACGTGGCACTTCCCATACAAACGGAATTTTTCATACTACATTTCTCAGGAAATATTTTTGATAGATTACTGGAACTTGGTATGGAAATATATATGATGAGGGCTGCCACCTTTTAAAAAAATAAAATTCAACTGCAATTAAGGGAGTTATTTATTTGAAAATTATATTAGAAAATGGATAAGAGGCTTAAAAGAGCTGTAGTTCGAATATATTTTGAAAAGGGTTGCCACCTGTTTGAACAGTCAAATTTAAATTAATTATACGCAAGCTATCTCAAGAATTAAAATATGGTTGTCTAACGAAAGAAACCTTTAGTTTAAAAGTTTTGAATAATATTTAAGTCTTTCACAATGGTTGCCAGCTTTTTAAAAATTACATTCAATTATTTTAAATTAAATATTACAGTAAAAGACACGAAATGGTTCTGGTGGCTGATTTATCGGTGGTGATTTGAGATTTACCCATGCAAAATCCTGGTGTCTCCGAATGAAGCTTTAACGCATAATAATACGGAGGATTTCACTCACAAACACACATACAGAAGAATAACATTTATGCATTTTTACCACACCCTCTTTTCAAATAGCCCATTTTTCTCCATGAGTATAAGATTGATTTCATATATTGCCGTACCAAGTAGCGGTATTCTACCATGAACACTTCCAGAGATATGTAGTAAGAAACAAGTAATTTTTAGCAAAAAAAAACCGTCTTAAAAAATATATATATATATCAATATATTTCATGATTCAATGGTCGGATCTAAACCAAATTAGTATGGGACCACCTCCGTTGTAAAAAGAATTATCGAAATCGGTTGACGTGGTCCAAAGTTATGCGGTAACATACATAAAAAAAAAAAATATTCCGACGAACTGATAACCTCCTCCTTTCTTGGAAGTCGGTTAAAAATAGATTTTTATGGGATGTGCCACGCCCCCTTTATATATCGAATTTTTTTTTAGCCTTTAACCATCCTTGGGACATCTGAAGCAGGTATCTGAGATTTCAAAATAATCGGTTCGGCCGTTCTCGAGCTTTGCGAACACATAAAAAACGTATTTCAAAATATACATTGTTATAGAAGATTGGTATGAATCGAAATGATTTTGAATATGTATCACAATATAAGTGTCAGACGAAAGAGGTTTAAAAAGGTTGCCAACTGTTTGAAAGGTTAAATTCAAACTATTCAATAATTTAAATGGATTACAACAACATGGGTCTCAATCGAAATGATTTTTAAAGGGCTCCATTTCAAAAGTACATGTAAGAGGTTTCTATCTCTTTAGAAATTTCATACACTCAGCCAAGCGGGTGAGGGCGATCTAGTAAGATATATTTTATCCTCGAAAAGAACTTTTTCTAACCATGAGGCGAAATTCCACACAGTTAGTGTTGCCGTGCGCGCAAAACGAAAACGCGAAACGTATATACTGTGGTTAGCAGTAAGGATATATTTTTTTGATAGGGTTGCCACCTGCGTTTAATATTATGATATTCACACCCTTCTCCCGATTCTCAAAAATGAGGTGTCAAATGAAAGGGCTTGGCCTCAAGATGTGGGGTAAGGCTTCATTTTTTTGAATAGGATTGTCACCTTTTTAAATATTATAAAATCTGCACGGTTCGTTTGATTAAAAACAAAAATAAGGTGTCAAATGAAAGGGCTGGGCCTGAAGACGTACAATAAGAATTAATTTTTTGAACAGAGTCTGTCTACAAAATTATAATATTTACATCCTTCGCATGATTTTCCAAAATGAGGTATCAAATGGCCTTTAGAAGTGCACCAAGGCTTTTATTTTTGAATAGGGTTGCCTTCTGTCAAAAAGTTATAATGATTACACCGTTTGCCGTATGCATATGAATATTTCCGAACCCTGCTAATAACCTCAAATACAAACTGTATCTTAAAGCTTAGAATCCAGCACTCAAGAAAAATCACAAGAAATATTTTTTTGTAATTTCTGTTGCTTGAAAAAGCACTTTGCTGAAAATTTTCTTGCAGAAATAAATATACGAGCATTTTTTTCTTGAGAGCTGTAAACTGATTTAAGAAATTTTGATAGAAGAAAATTTCTTTTCCTTTTCTTGTGCGTCATCTTATATGAATTTTTCGTTTTTGTTTGAGAGCTCTTAAAAGTTTAACTGCGAATGAAAACATTCGGGCGTGTTCTGCAAATCGTACGATTTCAAATCGGTGCGATTTATAAAATCTATTTCGGAAGATTTATAACAAAGAGGTAAAAATTTGGCATGAAATCGATGGATATAACGTAAATGATGTGTTTCTAGCAGTTTCCATTTGAAAAATTTAATACTTTGATTACAAATACACAACAATACTTTGCAAATCGCACCGATTTGCAGAACATGTCTGATTGTCCTAAAAATATGCAATGCATACTCACTTGCTGTTGTTTTTAACACCTTACAGACTAAAAGAGTTTACCACTGATTTGTACTTAACAAGGATTCGAAGATTTAATTTGCCAACTTTGAATTCGTTCCACCGAAATGAGCTACAAATACAAGTTCGGTTAATTTTTCGTTAATCGAAATATTAAAACATTAGGCAATCGGTTAGTTTTTTCGTTATTCGAAATATTAAAAAATTAGGCAATGAAAAATCGCCATCCGCATCGAAAACCAGAAACAAGAAATCGGGGAAAATGAGCATCGAAAGTCTTTGTTAACATTTTTTATTACTTTTGAAAGTCGAGCGCATCTTGTGTTTATAGAACTTTTTATTAAACAAGTAATGTTTAGGCAAATAACACAACCGACTTCAATTCTCGACTCTTGGTACTTTCCGATAAAAAAAAAAATTTTGAAATCGGTTCACGTGGTCCAAAGTTATGCGGTAGCATACATAAAACAAAATAAATATTCCGAAGAATTGATAACCTCTCCCTTTTTTTGAAGTCGGTTAAAAATGTTTGAGTTCTTTGGTAATTTCATGTAAATAAAGTGCAATTTATGAAACTTTAAAAAGTTTAATTATTTATTACATACTGTACATAAAAATTATATAAATGTCTTTTAAAGAGTGTATTATCTGAAGAGAATTTTATAGAGATATATCTTTGTGACCACAGAAATGTGTATCTTTAAATTTTTAATAGGACGGCAGGATTTCTCCCAACGACATCGAAAAAAAGGGTGTATTACAAGGGTGCAAAACGATATGTTTTCTAGTAGAATAATTTGTGTGTCCTGAAAATTTGCAATGTCANAATACTGTACATAAAAATTGTATAAATGTCTTTTAAAGAGTGTATTATCTGAAGAGAATTTTATATGTTTTCTAGTAGAATAATTTGTGTGTCCTGAAAATTTGCAATGTCANATCTGTTTACGCTTATTAAAGTAAAAAATTAAAAAAAATTGTTAATAAACTTCTGGTGCACAATTTAAAGATAAGTAAAACATAAAAATTTCCGTAAATTTGATTAATTTAACTTGATATTCTTAATTGCATGTGCCGAGTATTTTGTTTCATATAATATATTGTTGTTGTACAATTGTTTTTGTTTGTGCACATTGATTTTGCTCTTTTTGTCATTTCTGCTGTTTCATCTTTGTCACAGCTGTTTGCGTTGTGTTTATTAGGTGTCAAATATACAGTGCATTTAAAACTGTTCGCTACATAGCTTTCCAACTGATATTTACCAGCTGATTGGTTCACTGATTAATACATCGTTTTCAAAACCGTTTTTGCTTTTTTGCTTCTAAAACCTAAAAATAAATATAATTTTAAACATGTCGTGTATTTACACCAATTGCCACGTTAAAAGCGACTCCTTTTTACCAGTTTAGTTAGACCTATACTAGAATACGGATCTATTGTTTGGAATCCCCGCTACTAAGTTCATTCAGAAAGGATTGAATCAATTCAAAAACAATTCTTGCTTTTTGCATTGCGTAATTTTAACTGGGATTCAGATCTCCCCCCTACACAAGTCGTCTAAAGCTCATAAATTTGCCTACACTCGCAAGTCGTAGAGAAATGCTGGGTATAATATTTATCGTAAAATTAATGACAGGCTTGATTAATAGTCCGGCCCTCCTGGCTGAGGTAAATTTTAATGTTTCTTCTCGAGTGTCAAGACACTTTTCGACCTCTATTTTTAAAGCCATGCAAAACTAATTTTGAACTAAACGAATCATTCCGTGTTTTATGTCAAGATTTTAACTGTCATTCCAGCACGTTTGACGTATCGGACTCGATTTTTACTATTATTTCCACTCTCAATAATTGAAATACTATCTTTAGCATATCCAATGAGCTGATGAATTTGATTCTGTAGCTGAATAGTTTTAGATCTCGACATTTAACAAACTCCTGTTTCCACTACTCGGCACCAAAAAACT